GGGCACAAAGAAATACTTTTCTTTCTTATTCTCATTTAAAATGTCTTGCTTTTAACAAATACTCTCCAAATCTTACAACCAAAGTTTTTATCTGACGTAAAATGTTTAGAAATCATACATATACCAACAAGACTGTACATCACTGTCACAACAGTGTTTGTTTTCATTCAAAGGCTTTATGGCTTTAATACCTGGTGGGCCAGTCTCTGGTCAAAATGCCCAGGCCGATTTTTTGTCCCAGTTCAGCCCTGGGCACGACATGCAGTGAATTAATCTGAGAAGGTGCATTAAAAAATAAATGGCCAGGCCAGCAGTGCACATCGCAAATTAGCTCGCATAGACACATTAATTGTGCCGCTTCTTAATGACGGTATCTTAGCTAACAACCCCAACTACCAGATTCAACTTGTAATTGGCTAAAAATCACTTAGCCTACTGGTGAGAGGGACGTTGCTAGCTGTCAGTTTTTACAAGCAATGTTGAAATTTCCACGTTCTGACATTTCAAATGCTTCAGTAATATAGAGCAATATTACATTTATTGCTAATGCAATTATATGGCACATTGACTTCTGAGGAAATTTTAGATAGCACTCGTCATCAAAAAGGTTGCCTACCCCTGCCCTACACTGTATGCGCAGAATAGTTTTCTATACAAGATCGCTGCAAAAAGTGCAGCCTTACCTAATGTCCACCCTACTGTTACTCATTTTATATTAAGATTGAAAAATCTAGTTGGTATTGGTTTGGCTAATAACCTTCAGTAATAGTAATGAATCACACAGCAATAGTACATTCATGTGGTTGTAAAAAGCATGATATAAGTATTCAGAATATTTTACTCTCATTGAGTAACTTGAGAATTTTGTAACGAAAATATGTTACAAAATACATTTTGGAGCATGTATTCTGTAATCTGTAGTGGAATATATTTTAAAAGTAACCTTTACAACACTGATAATGGTGTCACACATGACACACCCCTAATGTTGCACAACAGGTCTGGATAATCCAGGCAGAGACAAGCACAACCTTTAGTCACCACAGAGGACTTTGAGCCAAGGAAAATGTCTCACAGTAAGTTCACACAACAACTATGTTTTAATTGTATGTACTGTATCAGATAAAGTAATGTTGTTTTTAACTATTTTCACAGATAAGATTTCAGTCATGATTCTGGGCAATGTGAAGTCTTTGAAGAAAGCTCTGATAACCAACATCCTGGGGAAAGATTTATCTGTTTTAACCAAAAGAAAGATTCTGAAAAACACTGAGATATATGACGATGATACATTTGAGTTCACATGTACACCAGATCTGAACACAACATGTGACGATATTAGAGAGCTATTTTCTAAGAATTCAAACTTTGACCTGTGTTTGTTGGTAGTAGAGGATGGATTTTCAACAGAAAATGTGCAAAAGCAGATAAAAGACCTCAACAAGAAGACTGGAAAACCAAGAGAAGAGTTCACAGTTGTGCTTCCGCTGAGATACAAATTTACAGAATATCCATTCAAATTCTACACCCTCGAACAGGTTTTCAGCAAACTGAGCAAACTACTTAAAGATAAACAACTGATGCCAACCAACAGAAAGAAAAGGGAAAGGTAGAGACAAATGAATGGGTGTCAAATATTTATTTATAATTGTTTGACAGTACTTTTTCAATTACAATTGTTCAACATGGTGTTCAACCGACAAGGAAGCTCTCTTTGCTTCCTGGTCGGTTAAACCAGTTAATGTGGTTTAATTTCTACATTTTAGGCCTGCTGACACTGCTGAACCACAAGATGGAAGTAAGAAGAAAGGTAAGCCACACTTGCTTGCTCTTTGTGTGTGTGTGTGTGTGTGTGTGTATGTTCCAAAGGTTTTTAAAGAAACAATTAATGTTACTTATGTAATGTTATTTATAAAAGGAAGCTTCTATTTGACCTTTTTGTTCAGGCAGCAAATACTTCAGACTGCAAATTACATAACGAAACAGCTTGGAATCACCTAACCTAACATGCATGTCTTTAAGAGGAAGCTGTAGTATGGGCTCAATTTGTGGTCATTAATAGTTTGTACTTGTAAATCAAATGCGTATTTGAGTTTTGTAACCTTTTAAACCAAAATGTGTGAAGGTTTTATGTTTGTGCATCTACAGATGAGAATTTGCGTGTGTGTAAAACATATTTGTGTTTGTAAAAAATATTTACACGAGTTACACATTTTTTGTTAAGGTCTGGTTACAGATACAAAGCAAAAAACTATGTGTAGAACCTGTTCCCTGGCTGCATGTGGCTTTCAACTTACACATACAAATTTTGACCCAATTTTTCTTCCTTTTAGCTGATTGATCAATATCATGTCAATCACAAATTTTAACAATTCAACTAGAGAACAGATGGGTTTGGCTGTTGGAGGGGTGCTTTATGGAGCTTCAGATCCTGGAAGAATAAATTCCCTTTCATGTGCCAGCCCAGCGTTTTTCCTTCATCACCACGAAGGAAAACAGTCTGTGCATGTCCGAGTTTACGTGCTTATACAGGGACCTCCAGAGGCTTTTCAACGGCTCAGTGGGCCTTCTGGGAAAAGCAGTGTTGTGGAAATGACACACACTTCACTACTGGGGATAGTTACAAAGCTTTCTTCGTTACACAATACATGTTTTTATTGAACATTTGAAGATAAAACAACACAAACTCTTGTAGAGGATATAGAGTCAGAGATACAAACAACAAGGAGCTAGTAGCTAGGAGCTAGTTCACATAGAGCTGCTGCAAAAACCCACAGAGCCCAGCAGCCAGCGCAACAAATTCTAGATCCTTGGCTCTTAGTTAGCATTAGCAGCACATTCTGGGTCTGCTGTGAAAGGACCTTTATGCTGCGCACTGTGACTCACAGCAATTTCTAACCACTGATATACCAAAACTTTATCCTAGCTTGACTGCCAGTTTTTCGTAAAGATGTGAGATTAATTTTGCGTCTTCCTGTTTTTATAGACCATCTAGAAGGCTGTCTGGCAAGGACTTCTCTTTATTATCATCTTTAGATGGTCCATCAGTGTATTTCAACTGTTGTTCAGCTTTTTGATTACAGAGAAGAAGGCTGTGGGAAAGGTGAAGGTGCTAGTTGTAGGTAGAAAGCTACCTACACCTAGCACCTAGCAAGAAAAGTTGACTTTAACAGGAAATTAAATGTCAGTGAACAAGCTTCTCAGCCTTTTGTGACAGTTAACTGTTGTGAAACATATGAAAATGAAGGGTTAGTTCAATAAAGGTATTGTCTTAAGGATGCATTTGCATTGTTTGATTTAAATATTTATCACTCAAACATGGTGATGGCATTGTTGCATGAGTAAAAATACAAACACACCCAAACTTTGGACATAATTTCATCCTGTTTTAGGGCCCTATTATCATGAAATATTTATTTAAGGCATTTTAAAACTTTTTGGGACCCACAGACACTCTGAAAAAGTAGCTGATTTGATTTAAAGAAACTACTTATTTTATATTTAACTCAACTTCAGCTTGTCTTTACTTCAGCAAAGCTCACCAGCACCACAGTGAACCTCGTTCTTCTGGGATTGGCTGGGACTGGAAAGAGTGCCAGTGGAAACACCATCCTTGGAAGGAAGCACTTTGTTTCTAAACCCAGTTCAAATCAAGTCACCACAGAGTGTCAGGTGGCAGAAACTGAGATAAATGACTTACATGTGCGTGTGATTGATACTCCAGACATGTTTGATGATGACACTGAACCATCAGTTCGGGACAAACATGTAAAAAGGTGCAAAGAGCTCTGTGAGTCAGAACCCTGTGTGTTTGTACTTGTGATGCATGTGAGCAGATTTACAGATGGTGAGAGAGACATACTGAAAAAGTTAGAAAACACTTTTGGGACCAAAGTGAAAGAACAAACTGTCATCCTGTTCACCCGAGGAGACAACCTGGAGGAGGCAGAAATGAGCCTGGAGGATTTTCTTCATTCCTGTCAACCTGGTCTGAAAGAAATCATTGAAAAGTGCGACAACAGGTGTGTTGTTTTTGAGAACCGCAGCTCAGGTTCAGACCAGGTGGAAAAGCTAATGAACACAGTGAGCACGGTGTTAAAGAACACAGCAAAGATACAATAAATAAAAGGAGGCTTGGATATTTTTTGAGTATAAATGCAAATAGTATGGATCTTTATAAAGATGTGTCTGTGTGTGAGTTTTGTTAGTTATTAGTATTAACTTCGAATTTGTAATGTGTGTGTAATTGATGCAAGATTTTTACTGTACTGAATTTTAATTGGTGTGAAAGATTTACAATAAAACAAAGTTCAGTATGCCTTATTTCTCTTTGGTGTTTGGACCTTGCCACGCTGATTCTGTCCTGTTGGATCAGTGAATTTCTTCATCAGTTTGTCTGGTTTGTTGTTTTTTTGTTTAGTTGTTTTGGGGCAGGGCACACAGCATAGTTACTTCTTTTGGAAGTAACTAAATAGGGAATATGGTAACATGTTGAAACCAGGGTGCGAGCTGTCCTTGATGATGTTTGCTGCTCTGCTGAGGCAGTGGAAGAAATACATGTCCATCAAGCACGGTGAGAGGGCAGCCAATGATCTTTTGTGCTGTCATGACTACACTCTGAAGCCTCACTCTATCCACCTTTGTGCAGCTGCCGTACCATACTGTGATGCAGTAGGTTAGCAGGCTCTCAATGGATGAGTGGTAGAAGGTCAGCAGCAGGTTGGAGTTACAGTTCAGCTTGTACTTCCTGAGGACCCCCAGGAAGTGCAGTCGCTGTTGGGCCTTTTTGACTACCACTGAGATCTTGTCTGTCGAGGAGATGTCAGCAGAGATGAGGACACCAAGGAACCGGAAGGTGTGGACCCTCTCCACACACTCCCTGTTGATGTAAAGGCGGGCTAGGTCAGTGCTGTGTCTCCTGAAGTCGACAATGGCCTCTTTGGTTTTTTTGGCATCAGGCTGCCAACTTCAGGTCTTCCTCTGTAGTCTGCCTCGTCTCTCTTTGAGATGAGTCCAACTACCGTGGTGTCATCAGCAAACTTGATGACGAGATTGTTGTTGGTCGAACTGCAGTCGTGGGTGTAGAGAGAATACAGGAGGGGGCTCAGCACACAGCCCTTTGGGGAGCATGGCTCAGTGTGAGAGTGGAGGAGAGATGAGGGCCGAGTCTTACAGTCTGGGGCCGGTTTGTGAGAAAGTCCTTTTTCCAGGAACATGTGAGAGGGCAGAGGCCAAGACTCATCAGTTTTGTGATGAGGATGTCCGAGATGATTGTATTAAAGGCTGAGCTGTAGTCCATGAAGAGCATTTGGACGTAGCTCTGCCACTGCTCTAGGTGACTTAGCACAGAGTGGAGGGCTATGGTGATGACATCTTCTGTGGATCTGTTTGTGCGGTGTGCAAACTGGTGGGGGTCAAATTCTGGGCGGCGGTAATCCTTGAGGTGCTGAAGAACTAGTCTCTCAAAGCATTTCATGATTACCGGCGTGAGGGCCACAGGACGTGAGGGCCACAGGGCGGTAGAGGCCAGCGATGATCTTTTGTGCTGTCTTGACTACACTCTGAAGCCTCGCTCTATCCGCCTTAGTGCAGCTGAATGGCAGCCGTAAGCCACTGCAACAGTGTGTGCCACTATCTTGCAACATGTCATATAATTCATGTAGTGCACCTTGATACAGCTGTTGCAATTTGGCACAGTATAAAAACTGAATTGAATACATGTGCATCTAAATACTTTGTTATTAATATACTAACATTTCCTAAATTAAAGTTTGAACCATTAACATCTTCTAAACACAAAGATGGTTTGTACTTAAGACAGCACTTTATTTACAGACAGTGAATCCATCATTTATAAAGTTTGAAAATGTAGTCAATAAACATTTAATCATTATTAACAAGGATAAAACTGTTTAAATTTCTTATTATTAAATAAGTAGTGAGTGAGTGGAGCTTAACTAACAGTTAACAAGCATAACATCTGTTTTTTTTCCTGGCTTTGTACAACAAAACTAAGCATTACTTCAAGTTTTATTGCTAAATGACATTTAATTGGCATAAATCTGAGTTCAAGCGTATTCAGCCACTATGGTTAAACATAGATCTGCTATTTTTAAAAAAAACTAACCATACTCACCTGATACCTGACAAGTAACTTATCAGTAGCACATCACACTTAAAGCACACAATTATCCTTAAAATTTGTTATTCTTCATGAGATCTTTGGCATAATTCATTTTATTTTATTTTCACTGGGAGAAAAATAAGTCTGTGCTAGTTGAGGTAATTTACACATTTCTATTTGTTTACACTGTCTTGTTGTTTAAGAAGGAAATTAAAATGCAGAATATTCTCTAATAGTTCACTTATAAACCTGTATTCTTTAACCATGCCACCCAATTTCTCTC